TCACCAAAAAAAAAAGGAAGTATAACCACTTCAGTTTGATAATGTGCTCACAAAAAAAGGGATAAATTTGCAACTCCAAAAACATAGAAGGGGAAGAAGAAAAGGATGGAATCTGCATAGGCTAATGGAGATAAGATGTTATCAGCGGAAAAAGCACTATCTTATCTATGAGACCTTTTATACAAACCTCATGGTAACCACATAACAAAAACTCAGAGCAGAGTCACAAAACATAAACAAAGAGAAACCTGAGAAACACATCACAGAAAACACCAAACTGAAATGGCAGGCAGAAACACAAGGAAAAAGAAACAATGGAAACATAAAGCAACCAGAAAACAAAAGATAGAATGGCAGTATTAAGCCCTCTTATATCAATAATCACCCTAAATGAAATGGATTGATTCACCAATCAAAAGACACAGTATGGCTGGGTGGATTAAAAAATAAGACCCACTGATATGCTGTGTCCAGAAGACCATCTCAGCTCCAAACGCAAACATCGGCTCAGAGCCAAAGGACAGAAGATGATACTCCAAGCAAATAGCAACCAAAAACTAGTGGGTACTACCATACTTATACAGAAAAAATAGACTTCAAGCCAAAAAAGACAAGAGACAAAGATGGGCATTATGTAACAATAAAAGGGACAATCCATCAAGAAGCCATAACATTTATTAATATATATGCACCTAACACAGGAGCACCAAAGTATATAAAGCAACTATTAACAGACCTAAGGGAGAAACTGACAGCAACACAATATTAGTAGAGGAATTTAATACTCCACTTACATCAATGGATAGAACATCCAGACAAAAAGTCAACAAGGAAACATCCATCTTAAATGAACAATGTAAAAAAAGAAACTTACAGGCCAACGTCACTGATGAACATAGATGCAAAAATTCTCAACAAAATACTAGCAAATTGAATACAACACTACATTAAAAGGACCACATACCACAATCAAATAGGATTTAATCCAGGGATGAAAGGATGGTTAAACATTTGCAAATCAATCAAGTGATACACCACATTAACAAAATTAAGAACAAAAATCACATGATCATCTCAACAGATGCAGAGAAAACATTTGACAAGATTCAGCATCCATTTATGATAAAAACTCTGAATGAAATGGGTATAGAAAGAAAGCACCTCAACATAATAAAGGCCATATATGACATACCCACAGCTAACAGCATACTCAGTGGTGAAAAACTCAAAGCCATCCCTCTAAGAACAGGAACCAGGCAAGGATGCCCACTCTCACCACTCCTATTCAGCATAGTATTGGAAGTCCTAGCCAGAGCAATTAGGCAGAAAAAGAAATAAAAGGTACCCAAACTGGAAAGGAAGAAGTAAAACTGTCACTATTTGCAGATGACATATCTTTATATACAGAAAATCCTAAAGAATCCATAGAAAAACTTTTAGAAATGATAAATACAGTAAAGTTACAGGGTACAAAATCAACACACAAAAATCAGTTGCAATTCTATACACTACTAACTAAAGAAAAATCAAGAATACAACCCCATTTACAATCTCAACAAAAAGAATAAAATACCTAGGAGCAAATGTAACCAAGGAGGTGAAAGACCTGTACACTGAAAACTATAAGACATTGTTGAAAGAAATCAAAGAAGACACAAGGAAATGGAAAGATATTCCATGCTCATGGATTAAAAAAATTAATATAGTTAAAATGTCCACATTACCTGAAGCAATCTACAGTTTCAATGCAATTCTATCAAAATTCCAATGACTTTTTTTTATGGAAATAGAACAAAGAATCTAAAATTTATATGGAACAACAAAAGGCCCGGAATAGCCAAAGCAATTCTGAAAAAAAAAAAAAAAAACAAGAACAAAGTTGGAGGCATCACGCTTCCAGATTTCAAAGTACACTACAGAGCTGTTGTAATCAAAACAGCATGGTAGTGGCAGAAAAACAGACACACAGGGCAATGGAATAGAATTGAGAGCCCATAAATAATCCCACACATATACAGACAGCTAATTTTCAACAAAGGAGCCAAAAACATACAATGAAGAAAGAAAACCCTCTTCAATAAATGGTGTTGGGAAAACTGGACAGCCACAAGCAAAATAATGAAAGTGGGGCACTGTATCTTACATCGTACACAAAACTTAACTCATCATACACAAAATTAACTCAGAAGACTTGAATGTAAGCCCTGAAACCATTAAAACTCCTAGAAGAAAACATAGGAAGTATCCTCTTTGACATCAGTCTTAGCAGTATCTTTTTGAATACCTTGTCTACTCAGGCAAGGGCAAGAAAAGGAAAAATAAACAATTAGGACTACATCAGACTAAAAAGCTTCCACATTGCAAAGGAAACTATCAAAAAAATGAAAGACAACCTACTGATTGGGAGAAGATGTCTGTAAATCATATATCCCGTAAGGGGTTAATATCCAAAATATATAAAGAACTCAAACAACTCAACAACAACAACAACAACAAAATGAAAGTATTAAAAAATGGGCAGAAGATCTGAACATTTTTCCAAAGAAGATATATAGATGGCCAACAGGCACATGAAAAGATGTTCAACATCACTAATCATCAGGGAAATGCAAATCAAAACCACAATGAAATACACTTCACACACACACACACACACGCACACACACACACACAATGGAATACTACTCAGCCATAAAAAAGATGAAATCCTGCCATTTGCAACAACATGGATGGACCTTGAGAGTATTAGGCTAAGAGAAATAAGTCAAACAGAGAAAAACAAATACTGGATAATTTCACTCATATATGGAAGATTTTAAAAAAACAGTAACAAACAGATATATACAGAGAACAGATTGGTGGTTATCAGAGGGGAAGAGGAGAGGGAGGAAGGCAAAAGGGGTAAAGAGGGACATCTGTACAGTGATAGATGGAAACTAGACTTTTGGTGGTCAACATGATGTAGTCTATACAGAAGTCAAAATATAATGATGCACATGTGAAATTTATAGTGTTACAAACCAATGTTATCTCAATAAAAAAATCAATGTAACAAAACATATTAATAAAGGACAAAAGCCACATGATCATCTCAATTGATGCAGAAAAGCATTGACAAAATACCACTCTTTCCTAACTAAAACACTCAGCAAAATAGGAACAGAACAGAGCTTCCTCAACTTGATAAAAGCCATCTATGAAAGTTGACATCACACGTAGGTATGAAACACTCACTGCTTTCCCATAAGATCAGGAACAAGACAAGGATATCTGTTCTTGCCACTTCTATTCAACAGCATATTGGAGATTCTAGCCAGAACAACTGGGCACAAAAAGGAAATAAAAAGGCATCCAGACTGGGAAGGAAGAGGTAAAATCACCTCTATTTGCAGATGACATGATCTTGTATATAAAATATCCTAAGGAATCTACTAAAAGAATTATTAGAACTAATAAATTAGTTCAGGGAGATTGTGGATATAAGACCAATATACAAAAACCACACGTATTTTATAAACTAGCAATAACAACCGAAAAATAAAATTAAGAAAAGAATTCCATTTACAACAGTATCAAAAAACACATTAATAAATTTAGCAAAAGAAGTGCAAGACTTGTACACTGAAACTACAAACCATTTTTGAAAGAAATTTAAAAAGATCCAAATAAACTGAAAGGCATTCCATATTTATGGTTCTGAAGACTTAACAGTGTTAAGATGGCAATACTCCCCAAATTAATCCACAGATTCAATGCCATCACTATCAAAATCCCAGCTAGCTTTTTTGCAGAAACTGACAAGGTGGTCCTAAAATTTGTATGGAAATGCCAGGGAGCCAAAACAATATTGAAAAAGAATGAAATTGGAGGACTCACATTTTCTAATATCAAAACTTACTACAAAGCTACAGTAATCAAGACAGTATGGTTCTGGCTTAAGGACAGACATAAAGATCAATGAAATAGAATGTGAGTCCAGAAATAAACAACTACTTTTATGGTCAATTGATTTTTGATAAGAGTACCAAAATGCTTCAATGGGGAAAGAATAGTCTTCACGAAATGGCACTGGAACAACTGGATGCCAAGATGCAAAAGAATGCAGCTGGACACCTACCTCACACCATTCACAAAAATTAACTCAAAATGAAACACAGATTTAAACATAAGAGCTAAAATTATAAAATTTAGAAGAATGGTGAGGGACTGCTAATGGATATGGGGTTTCTTTTGGGGGTAATGAAGATGCTCCAAAATTAGATTGTGAGGATGATTGCACAACTCTGTGAATACACTAAAAACTCTTAACTGTACATTTTTCTTTGTTATTTTATTTTATTTTTTTTGGTGAGAAAGATTGGCCCTGAGCTAACATCTGTGCCAATCTTCCTTTATTTCGTATGTGGGATGCCGCCACAGCATGTCTTGATGAGTGGTGTGCTGGGTCTGCATCGGAATCCGAACCCATGAACCCCAGGCCCCACGAACCCCAGGCCACCAAAGCAGAGCGTGTGAACTTAACCACTACACCACTGGGCCGGCCACTGTACATTTTTCAGTGGGTGAATTTTATAGTATGTGACAGACATCTCAATAAAGCTGTTTTTAAAAAAACTAACCTATTTATAAGTATTCTTTTGCAGAACATGGTTTCCCCTTATTAATGCTATGTTCTGTTTTCCTCAGATTCTTTACCTGAAACTGAATCAGCTTTGAGGAGACTCTTAGGCTTACTCTACTGAGACGCAAAAAAAGAGTGAGTGTGAAAGTAGTATGTGCACAAATAATACCAATTCTGCACCTGTAAAAATGCGGGCTCTTTAAAACATTTCAGATCTATACAAATGTCTCCAATACAAGGGGTCCGCCATCTACCTAACTTCCTTCTCGTTTGCCCATGACCACTAGTCCCCGTCCCTCCCCCTCTGCCTACCCTTTCTCAAGCTCCCACCCTCCTCGGGGCCCTAGGCCAGGGGTCAGAGCTGGGAGGACTGTCTCACAGGGTACTTTGTACTTCTGGAGACAGTAGGCGAGCTCCATGGGTTGCACTGCTTTCTGTCGGCTGTCCTGCATCTTCTCCAGCAACAAGAGCAGCTGGAAGGGGACGCTCCTCCTCTGCTCTTCTGCTCCCCTTGGCACTGTTATCCTGCAGAGCAAGAACAAGCAGGAACCTGCTTAGCCCATGGTTCTCCATGCTGGGTGCACACTGCAATCACCTGGGGGAACGCTCACAGATCACCACGTCCACACCAGTCTCCAGGTCTGCAGACTAACTGCAGCAGAATTTCCGGAGGTGGGGCCCAGTTAGCAAGATTTTTAAGTTCCCCTGATGATTCAAATGTACAGATAAGGTTGAGAACCACCATGCTGGCAAACTGGCTAGAGAGAGCACACCCCAAAGGAAGAGAAAAGCTCCACTGCTGCCTGCACTCCTCTCCCGCCCAACGAGCACACTAAAGTGAAGGACACATGCTGGAGGTCGCGGGTCCAGGGCAAAATGGCCAGCCCAAAGCATTCCAAGGTGAAAAGGAAATACTGGTCTCAGTCCTGGGAAGAAAGAGCAACATGCAGCAATGCCAGTGTACTCTCTGGTAATGATTTATTAAATTATAGGCATCTCTCAATTGCCCACGCCAATGGAAGGGAAAAAGGAGAACGCACAGGGCAGAAAAGGATGTGTGATAAAGCATACATGTGTGTGCGTTTATATATATATGTAGACATACGCAAAGTACATACGTGTGTGTTAATGTGTTTTGTTTGAGGAAAAAATGGAGAGAGCCGTGGACCTACCCTTGATTTACTCCTCCTTTGACACCGGTCTAGTCCCAACTTCCTTCTAACCAAATCACTGGCTGGCAGGCCTGGCTGCACTTTAAAATCACTTGGGGAGTCTTTTTAGAAGTACCAAGGCCTGGGCCCCACCCTAGACTAACTGAAACCAAACGCCTTGGGGTGGGACTAGGCATTTATGTTTTTTTAAACTTCTTAGGTGATCATAATGGGCAGTCCAGATGGGGACCACAAGATCTTTTCTCTGGCAACTTTTGAAAGAAGACTTCTAAAACTCCAAGTCACTGTGAACAACTGAATATTTGAAAACAGAAAATACTATAAATGTTTCTCAGCATGAATAACAGTCTTACCGCTTCAATATCTTGGTGAAGCCCACGTTCATGATCAATACCTGAAGCAGGGAGTTAAGGCAGCAGGTCTGTCCAATGTTGTGTAAACCAACCGGGCCTATAAAGAGAAGAGAACAAAACACTGAGGGCAAGGCCTACCTAAGGGATTTAACAAAAATCAAATGTTTTTCTAGGAGTCAGCCCCGTGGCCGAGTGGTTGAGTTCACGCACTCCGCTTCAGCAGCCCCGGGGTTTCGCCGGTTCAGATCCAGGGCGCGGACACGGCACCGCTCATCAGGCCATGCTGAGGCGGCGTCCCACATAGCACAGCCAGAGGCACTTACAATTGGAATATACAACTACGTACTGGGGGGCTTTGGGGAGAAGAAGAAGAAAAAAAAAAGAAGAAGAAGAAGATTGGCAACAGCTGTTAGCTAAGGTGCCAATCTTTAAAAAAAAAAAAATGTTTTTCTAGAATCTACTAAGGACATGAAATCCTGTATTCTCAGAGGTACAAAGAATTCACTAAGGAGCTTGCAAACAAATTGGAGAGGAGAGAGAAAGCACGAACCTCTGAAAAGCAAAATAGCAGTAGAAGTTTTAACAGTCCATTAGGAAACAAGAGACGTCACAAGAAAGCATATTACTCATTGTCAAATGAGTAGTACAAGATTTGTTGTAAGAGCAAAGGAAAAGAAAAAAACATTACAGAAAGCCTAACTGGGAGAATTATGAGTTCTCATTCAAAACGCTCCTCTCAGAGTTGAGTCAGAATGGGCATCTACGGGGCTCGGGGATAAGAGGAATGTCCCAGCTGGTCTATTTTGGACTCCAGTGGAAAGGCCCCTGCCCAGGCCCCACCACATAGCTGGAGGAAATCAAAAGAAAGCTTTTGAGGCAATCCGCTAATCTAAACTCACCCCAAGAGGCTGGAAACTAGAAGGAACTGATGAGGACATGAGAAAACCAAAAGATAGCAATTCTCTGACCCACCAGCAACCAGCCTCTCCTTTCCCAACCCAGCCCAGGGCCAGCACACTCCACGAGATGAGTTATTTAAGAGGAAGGGAGTACCACTAATCCCAGAGCTCATGGGGAAAAGGCTTGTGGTGCATACAAGACAGGGTAACAAGAACGGAAAGATCCAGGGCAGCAGGTAAGTGCGGATTTCTCCTCCCCAATCAGCAGAAGCTCTGTGCCCCTAGACACACAGGCACTAAAAACCGGAGATGATCCTGAGAGCTGCTCCATGCCAAGCATTGGTTTGAAGCAGTTTCCATGGATTATCTCATTCATTCCTCCTAACAACCCTCTGCACTCAGTACTATGATTATTCCCACATTACAGATGCAGAAAGGGAGGCACAAGAGATCAGAAGTCGTTAGCCACAAAGCTCTACTGTTCCAGAGTACAGCGAGTGAGTGAAGCATTTCTACGCAGTCAAAACGAGAAAAATAGGAGGAATCTAATGACCATGAGGGCAGTCCCAGGCACTGAACCATTCTCTTAGCCGCTCCCGCTTCTTCTTCATGTTGCTGTCTTCTGCCTTCTTCTCAACGGCTTCTGCCGCACAATGCTGAGATTCAGCCAGGACTGACCAGCAAGTATCTTCAGGAACCCCAAACACCTTGCCCATTAGTGACCACTCCAAAATCCCCAGGCCGCCAGCTGCCCGGCGTGTCTTTAGGACTGCACGACCTCACTTCCAGGAAGAGCTCACAGGAGTCAGCCTTGGTGGGACCTCTGTGGAAACACACAGCAAGTAGGTAAGGATAAGAGAAGGGAGAAAGCATATTCATGTGATCAGTTCTGATTCCAAAGAGCCAAGTCTTGGAGGGGGTTAGCCTGTCCGGGCTCCTCAGATGGGTCTGAGTGTTGTCAATGCTCCCACGCACTTTGTACACAGAGCAACTTAAATAATTGACTCTTCATGTTCTAATGTGGGGAATAACTGTCTCTCCACGTGTGGTGGATGGTGATGCACCGCCCGGACTCCTCCTGCGGGACAGATGCCACTTCCAGGCGGAGGGAAGTGCTGGTGGTTAACAGCTCCCAGCTGAGTCCCTCTCCAAGAATTTACCTCAGAGAAGAAAGCCAGCCAATCCCTATCCAGTGACTGAACAACAAGCGGGGATAAAGGCCTCACCTCAAGGTGAAATAGCTCTGAAGGGTCATCCAGCCCCAGAGCTCCGCTCAGGACAAGCCGAGCCTCTGTTGCAACTGTTTGGCAGTTCAATTCTTCTCTCTGCCCATCCCTGCTTTGCTCACCCATTCCAGCTGTTGTTCCCAAGGGTACTCCCCAATAAACCTCCCACAGGCACATCTTAGACTCTCAGCATCTGACCTGAGACCCTAAACTGTGAGCACCTGGAAGGCAGGGACTGTGTGTTTTCAACTACTTCCACTACACCTTGTGCAGTACATGATAGGCATTCAATAAACCACCACTGAATGAATGAACGAGTACCACAGGCAATAAAACAGCCGTGTTCGCACAGCTAAAAGGCCACGATGTGGAGGAGACACAGACAGAGACTTCTTGTCTTTGGGGCTTGCGGGGGGGGGGGGGGGGGTTCAAATTCCCTACTGTGTGAAACTACAAAGAGATTTCATCTGAAAATAGGAACTTTCTCATGGCCAGGGAGCCAGCTCCAGCGGCTGAAATTTGTCCCTCTTGGAGGTATTGAAGCAGAGGCTGAGCCAGCCCCTGAAGAAAGGAACTGAACAGTAAATGGGGGCTGGGATCTTTCACTTCCCTTCCAAACCTGAAGCCTGTGATTCTTCCATCTAGATATTCATTTTAATTCAAGTAGGAGCATTCAAATGTGTCCCACTCAACTACGTTTCCTAGAGAATTACCACAGCAGCCAGAAAGAGAACTCACGGCTGTTCCTGGAGAAGACGGTCCCCTTACACACAAAGGGCCTCCAAGGAAAAAATACTTTTCTTTTAAGATTTTTATTATAATGTTTAAGATTGTTATTTTTCAAATAATGCTAACTTATGAAGAAAATTTGCAAATCGCAAAAATGTATAATGAAGGAAATATAAATTACTCATAATCCCAGGACCTAGGGATAACCACCATCTATCTTCTCAATCTTTCTTCCTATGTATTTTTGCCATGGTTGATACTGTACTGCTTTTCCCTTTTCACATTATAAGAAGAATTTCCCAAGTCATTCTAAGCTCTTCACAGATTTTTTTTGATGCCTGATATAGTAACAAAACATTGTGGAATACCCTGGTTGTTTACAATTTTTTACAATTATAAAAAATACTGAAGTGAACATTTTTAGGCATAAAATTTTTCTCTACCTGTTTGATTTTTCCTCATGCAAACCAAAGGTCCAAGGACACAACAAAACAGTAACTATAAATGAGGTCATATTGACCACAATATCCAAAGCCGCCTCGTCTTTTACTTCCTCCTGACAACACAGACTTCAGCCACCTGTACACTCTCCCCAGCATGTTCTGGAATCTCAGGAGGAGTCTCTCATGTGTTTTGGAACAAGGTCACAACCACTGTACCCTGCCACTACCCGCCTGTGAATGTCCACAGGGTACCTGCAGGGCACTGCCAGACACAGTAATCAATGCACGAAGATCCCCTTGTATCTCCAAGTAGGGGCTGACTGCAGAAGCAGGATACAGGCCCAGCTCCTCCCACTGCCTTGTGCCTTTTGGTTTCACCAAGTCCCTTTGGAAAAGGCTTCAACCTCTGCCTGCAGCCACTCTCTCCAGGGTTCTCAGTCCGGTCCCCAGGTCTCAGCTGAGAAGCATAAACCATACTGTCTTCTCTACATCTCCCTTCTCTCCTACTCAGGGGCATATATGCAAGATTTCCTCAGTTGTTCCCCGCTGTCCCCATGCAAACAAATCTGCAGCCCTCTAACTTATCTGCCCATCAGACACAATGAGCTGCTAAATCAAGGTTTAGGAGAAACGAAGTGCACAAAGTTAAAGGTTCTTAATATATGTTGCTAAATGCCTTGCACCAGTTTATACTCTGACCAGCAGTGTGAGAGGTATGTCAGGACACAGTGCTTAAATGAAGTAACCCAAGTTCACTGATGTTTACAAGGATAGGTTTCATAGAAAAGGTGAGTCTGGAACTGAGTTTATTTAAAAGGAAAGAGTATGGTTTGAAAAAATGGGCATCTTGAGGCAAGGCAGGTAATGTGTGAAAAAGATCCATGGCTGGGGAAGGAGGATGCAAGGAACAGTGTGCAAAGGACTGTAAGAATCGCAGAGGTGAATCCAAACTAAGACTGGAATAAAATGAAAAAGTTCCAGAATTTTAATTTTTATAAAAAGTAACCGGTCACTAGTAGTCAGGGAAATGCAAACCCTAACCATTTTACACTACTCAATCGGCAACAATTAAGAATTCTGATTGAACCCAGTGTTGGAGGGGATGTGGATAAAAAGGATCTTTTATATACTACTAGGGAAAGGGTGTGAAATGGCACAATCACTTGGAAAAACAATTTGGCATCACGTTGTAAAGTTAAACATTCACTTAACTTCAACCCAAAAATTCCAAGAGAAATTCCTATATGTGTCCCTGGAGACATATACAAAAATGTTCCCGGCAGCACTGTTTATAATAGCAAAAACATGGAAACAACCCAAGTGTTCAACCCAATCCACAGAGGAATGACTGCATAAGCTGTAAAAAATTTACACAATGAAATAATATTTATCAGTACATCTGAGTGAACGACAGCACATGTCACAATATCGTGAATCTTAGAAACATAATATTGAGTTGAAAAAGCAATTCATGGAGGACAATATATAATATTTCTTTTTGTAGATTCAAACTGAAGGAAAATGGAACATTATGTTGTTTAGGCATCGATACGTGTGTGTATGTGATACAGCTTTTTAAATAAATAATGAAAATCACAAAGATCAGGTGATTACTTCTGATGGAGGGCAGAGGGATGAGACAAGTGGAGAGCATATTATTGCTAGGAATATTCTAGTTTGGAGGTGAAGGGGTGTCATACATGTTTATTTTATTATTCATTAGTTAAATAATTAATTGGAACGTGGAGTCAAGGCTAATGGTCTGAGGAAAACAGACAGGGTCTCAAATGGGCCTAAGAGAATCACTCTTCTCCCTGTGTGGAGCACGTGCGCAGCTCAAGCACTAAGGCAGAGACAACACAATTGATGACAAATCTGAATTAAAAATCACTTTGTGGATTTTCCCCAACAACGCTCAGTTTTAACTGACTGTTATGAAGAGCCCTTAAGGGCAGAAGTGCCATCCCAAAGCTCTTACTGTACTGCCTCCTGGGGGAGAAAGGCAGAAGTCAAACCAAGTTTGGGTATGTAAGCACTGTCCCCTAGTCAAACATACGAGGAATATCCAGGTAGAAATGAGCTCAAGAAGAACTGCCACGCAGCGTACCAAGTAAATAAAAACGAGCACACATTAAACAACAAATAATAAAAGACATAATATGAAAACTCTAAATCATATGGAAAGATAAGTCATTCTCATCTACAGCCAGGGCACTTAATGAAAGTGGCACTGCATCCAAATGCATTCTAAATGTTGTATCAAGACTCAAATTTTTCAGAGGAGGTAGGAAAGCCCCAAAGTGTGGCTTCGACATCATTACTTAGCCAAGATCTGCTCGTCCGCTTCCAATCTGGCCCCAGCCTTTGAAAGGCTAAATAACCAAACGCCCACTTCAGCGGCATGTCTGGGGTCCCTGCGCTTGTTCGTGACCGAGTGATCGCTTTGGCCACCACCATATGTAATCAGTGTAACAAAAAGGGGGGTCACTTGGACCAATAGTTAATATATCTGCATATCCAGTTGCAAATATCCCACACGTAACTTAGGGTAGAAAATCTCATCTATTTTATATGCTGAGATATAAAAACAATTTTTACTGCAAAAGTAAGATGCTGCAATAATGAATGGTTTGGGCCACTAACTTTACATATAAAACTATTATTTAAAAATCTTAAAAAGCAATTGAAATTAATACATATATTAAAGAGAGAATAAATGCGCTGAATCGTTTATGAAGAATATTATATTTTGGGGGCTTACAACTATTTTTTAAATTTTAAAAGTAATTTAAAATAATAGAGTTAAGACTGTATCAATTCTATATTTATAAAATTGTTTGGCATACCAGCATTCCTAATATTAAACAAGATAATCTTTAAGAATTATATTTAAGTTTTAATTATTTAATCCCAATTAAGTCATAAGTTTTTCAAGAAAAAGCCTATTTGCAAATTCTTCACATCTTGTGAAGATGAATTAAAAGCAGAACGTCAAGTTTACCACTTCAAATTATCATGAGGAGGAAAAATTCCAAACATATATACTAAAAGATCAATAATAAATCATCATTCAATCCAGATGTAATAAAGAATATAAAAAAATCTGGAAAAAAAGAAGAAAGGTTAGAGAAAAACAAGATACCCAACACAGTTTGTTCTGACTAGTCAAACTTCAAAAATCGCAGACTACACAAACGGATCAAGCACACTGCTCTTCATAGTGTTTAGTCTATTTATGGCGCTAAAAATCGTTATCCAAATGATTGCCTTAGGTTATCACTCCATTCACTAGCTGGAAAATGAAACTCTCGACTTTTGAGAGTTGCCCAAACTATGACTCCTAGGAATCCTAGAATTGCTCTGGAAAACATGTTCCTAAAAATAATTTTCCTGACTTATATTCTGCTGTGCATGCGAAGAAAAAA